TTGCACATGTACATATTACAGTAATCTCTAGTTATGCCAATGTTGCACATGTACACATTACAGTAATCTCTAGTTGTACCAACCTTGCACATGTACATATTACAGTAATCTCTAGTTATGCCAATGTTGCACATGTACATATTACAGTAATCTCTAGTTATGCCAATGTTGCACATGTACATATTACAGTAATCTCTAGTTATGCCAATGTTGCACATGTACATATTACAGTAATCTCTAGTTATGCCAATGTTGCACATGTACACATTACAGTAATCTCTAGTTATGCCAATGTTGCACATGTACACATTACAGTAATCTCTAGTTGTACCAACCTTGCACATGTACACATTACAGTAATCTCTAGTTATGCCAATGTTGCACATGTACACATTACAGTAATCTCTAGTTATGCCAATGTTGCACATGTACACATTACAGTAATCTCTAGTTATGCCAATGTTGCACATGTACACATTACAGTAATCTCTAGTTTTACCAACCTTGCACATGTACACATTACAGTAATCTCTAGTTGTACCAACCTTGCACATGTACACATTACAGTAATCTCTAGTTGTACCAACCTTGCACATGTACACATTACAGTAATCTCTAGTTGTACCAACCTTGCACATGTACACATGACAGTAATCTCTAGTTATGCCAATGTTGCACATGTACACATTACAGTAATCTCTAGTTATGCCAATGTTGCACATGTACACATTACAGTAATCTCTAGTTGTACCAACCTTGCACATGTACACATTACAGTATTCTCTAGTTTTACCAACCTTGCACATGTACACATTACAGTAATCTCTAGTTATGCCAATGTTGCACATGTACATATTACAGTAATCTCTAGTTATGCCAATGTTGCACATGTACATATTACAGTAATCTCTAGTTATGCCAATGTTGCACATGTACACATTACAGTAATCTCTAGTTATGCCAATGTCGCACATGTACACATTACAGTAATCTCTAGTTATGCCAATGTTGCACATGTACACATGACAGTAATCTCTAGTTATGCCAATGTTGCACATGTACATATTACAGTAATCTCTAGTTATGCCAATGTTGCACATGTACACATGACAGTAATCTCTAGTTATGCCAATGTTGCACATGTACACATGACAGTAATCTCTAGTTATGCCAATGTTGCACATGTACACATTACAGTAATCTCTAGTTATGCCAATGTTGCACATGTACACATTACAGTAATCTCTAGTTTTACCAACCTTGCACATGTACACATTACAGTAATCTCTAGTTTTACCAACCTTGCACATGTACACATTACAGTAATCTCTAGTTGTACCAACCTTGCACATGTACACATTACAGTGATCTCTAGTTGTACCAACCTTGCACATGTACACATGACAGTAATCTCTAGTTATGCCAATGTTGCACATGTACACATTACAGTAATCTCTAGTTATGCCAATGTTGCACATGTACACATTACAGTAATCTCTAGTTATGCCAACCTTGCACATGTACACATTACAGTATTCTCTAGTTTTATACCAACCTTGCACATGTACACATTACAGTAATCTCTAGTTATGCCAATGTTGCACATGTACATATTACAGTAATCTCTAGTTATGCCAATGTTGCACATGTACATATTACAGTAATCTCTAGTTATGCCAATGTTGCACATGTACACATTACAGTAATCTCTAGTTATGCCAATGTTGCACATGTACACATTACAGTAATCTCTAGTTATGCCAATGTTGCACATGTACACATTACAGTAATCTCTAGTTATGCCAATGTTGCACATGTACATATTACAGTAATCTCTAGTTATGCCAATGTTGCACATGTACACATTACAGTAATCTCTAGTTATGCCAATGTTGCACATGTACACATGACAGTAATCTCTAGTTATGCCAATGTTGCACATGTACACATTACAGTAATCTCTAGTTATGCCAATGTTGCACATGTACACATTACAGTAATCTCTAGTTATGCCAACCTTGCACATGTACACATTACAGTAATCTCTAGTTGTACCAACCTTGCACATGTACACATTACAGTAATCTCTAGTTATGCCAATGTTGCACATGTACATATTACAGTAATCTCTAGTTATGCCAATGTTGCACATGTACACATTACAGTAATCTCTAGTTATGCCAATGTTGCACATGTACACATTACAGTAATCTCTAGTTATGCCAATGTCGCACATGTACACATTACAGTAATCTCTAGTTATGCCAATGTTGCACATGTACATATTACAGTAATCTCTAGTTATGCCAATGTTGCACATGTACACATGACAGTAATCTCTAGTTATGCCAATGTTGCACATGTACACATTACAGTAATCTCTAGTTATGCCAATGTTGCACATGTACACATTACAGTAATCTCTAGTTATGCCAATGTTGCACATGTACACATTACAGTAATCTCTAGTTATGCCAATGTTGCACATGTACACATTACAGTAATCTCTAGTTATGCCAATGTTGCACATGTACACATTACAGTAATCTCTAGTTATGCCAATGTTGCACATGTACACATTACAGTAATCTCTAGTTATGCCAATGTTGCACATGTACACATTACAGTAATCTCTAGTTGTACCAACCTTGCACATGTACACATTACAGTAATCTCTAGTTATGCCAATGTTGCACATGTACACATGACAGTAATCTCTAGTTATGCCAATGTTGCACATGTACACATTACAGTAATCTCTAGTTATGCCAATGTTGCACATGTACACATTACAGTAATCTCTAGTTATGCCAATGTTGCACATGTACACATTACAGTAATCTCTAGTTATGCCAATGTTGCACATGTACACATTACAGTAATCTCTAGTTGTACCAACCTTGCACATGTACATATTACAGTAATCTCTAGTTATGCCAATGTTGCACATGTACACATTACAGTAATCTCTAGTTATGCCAATGTTGCACATGTACACATTACAGTAATCTCTAGTTATGTCAACCTTGCACATGTACACATTACAGTAATCTCTAGTTATGCCAATGTTGCACATGTACATATTACAGTAATCTCTAGTTATGCCAATGTTGCACATGTACACATTACAGTAATCTCTAGTTGTACCAACCTTGCACATGTACACATTACAGTAATCTCTAGTTATGCCAATGTTGCACATGTACACATTACAGTAATCTCTAGTTATGCCAATGTTGCACATGTACACATTACAGTAATCTCTAGTTATGCCAATGTTGCACATGTACACATTACAGTAATCTCTAGTTATGCCAATGTTGCACATGTACACATGTACATTACAGTAATCTCTAGTTATGCCAATGTTGCACATGTACACATTACAGTAATCTCTAGTTATGCCAATGTTGCACATGTACACATTACAGTAATCTCTAGTTATGCCAATGTTGCATGTACATATTACAGTAATCTCTAGTTATGCCAATGTTGCACATGTACATATTACAGTAATCTCTAGTTATGCCAATGTTGCACATGTACACATTACAGTAATCTCTAGTTATGCCAATGTTGCACATGTACACATTACAGTAATCTCTAGTTATGCCAATGTTGCACATGTACATATTACAGTAATCTCTAGTTATGCCAATGTTGCACATGTACACATTACAGTAATCTCTAGTTATGCCAATGTTGCACATGTACACATTACAGTAATCTCTAGTTATGCCAATGTTGCACATGTACACATTACAGTAATCTCTAGTTATGCCAATGTTGCACATGTACACATTACAGTAATCTCTAGTTATGCCAATGTTGCACATGTACACATGACAGTAATCTCTAGTTATGCCAATGTTGCATGTACACATGACAGTAATCTCTAGTTATGCCAATGTTGCACATGTACACATTACAGTAATCTCTAGTTATGCCAATGTTGCACATGTACACATTACAGTAATCTCTAGTTATGCCAATGTTGCACATGTACACATGACAGTAATCTCTAGTTATGCCAATGTTGCACATGTACACATTACAGTAATCTCTAGTTATGCCAACCTAGCACATGTACACCTGTCAGGGCGATTTAATACGCTAATGTGCCAACTTTGTACATGTACACGTGTCTTGATATTCAATATGCCAAATTAAACTTGCACATGTACAAGCATCGGTGACTGAGTTGGTTAGAGGTTTGATGCCTCGCTCGTGGTGGTTCGAATCCCAAAATATACTAGCATTTGTTCTCACGTAGGAAAGTGTCATCCCAAACATAATATTTGTCATGTGACCTCCCTCTTACCTATTCTTCTGACAGTGTATGGGTTATCCATGATGAACATTAAATAGCGACAATTTCATCAGTACAATGTTGACACTGAAATCGTAATATATTACTGAAATATGTTTCTTTATAGTTCATTTTATATAGGTCATTTTAACTTGTTATAAGCTATTCAGAAGATCATATTAAAATAGAGATTAATGGACACTGAAGTTTTCGTTCTCCAGTAATCAGCTATCCTTCTTAAGGGAAAATAATAAATATTTAACTGTTATTGAGATTTGTTATATTGTTTTATGTTGCTAAGCAGTAATATGGATTACTTCTCTCATTATGTCCTCAAAGATTGGAAACAAAACTTTAACAGGCTAGGATTCTACAATGTCTTTCAGTGGCATTTAGAAGTTGTACATTGATGTCCAAGATATTTTTTATGGATTAAACTTCTTTTTAAATTTCTCTCACAACGTTTCGAGACCATTCAGGTCCCTTCATCAGGTGAGTTCACCTGATGAAGGGACCTGGAATGGTCTCGAAACGTTGTGAGAGAAATTTAAAAAGAAGTTTAATCCATAAAAAATATCTTGGACATAGGATTCTACAGTTCAACAGATCTTAAAAATATACGATCATCCGAGGACAGATGAACATTCAGGTTTCTGAAACAACATACAGGCTCGGATCAAGCAACACTTACACAGGTTGCAGGACTTCTTGCAACGTTTCTTCATCTTCTTCTGGTGCGTCTCATCGGTACAAAATCCCTTCTCCACCAGTTTTGGACATTCACTCCCCTTGTCCCTACACTTTCCTCCACCTTCTATGAAACAAAGTCAGTTCATAATTAAACGTTAAAATACCTGAAATATTCAGATACCCATCATGTAAACTTTGGAAGAATTGCATCTGTGTACACATATATTTCTTTATACTGGACAACTGCCAGGTTGTGTTTCATTATAATACATATAATAAGACTCTGGACTGTAGCCAGACATGTGTTTTTGAATAATCATTTCTCATATCGTATGTCTCTGATGTGCTGTCTGACAAACAATATACAAGCAACATATGTGAATAGTATTGTCAACGTTTACTAATAGCATATATTTACAATTTCACAAATGTTTTCTGCCGTTCAGTTCTGGAAATATTCACCAAGAAAATTGCTAAGCACCGTATTTCGATACGAAATAAAAATTTGAAAAAATCGTACGGTTTTGTAATCATTGTTCGGTCATTCTTCCCTGTTCAGCAGATTACTACTGTACTTCCTTGCATCTCGGGGAACACACAGTGTTCTGGTACCACGTCCACGCCATATATTGGCCAGTTCTTAAACATTTATCGAAACTGGATCAATAGTGATTTTTATATCCATAGATATACATGAGTTTGGAGTGTGTGAAAATATGAAATGGTGGTGCTTAGCGTTTTCCAAGTGCAAGTTTCACTCTCAGGTAGCTGTTTGTGATGATATCAAATAGTTGTTAACCACGCACCTTTTGCCTTTGATTTCTTTCCTCTTGATTTCTTTCCCCTTGATTTCTTTCCCTTTCCCCTTGATTTCTTTCCCTTTCCCCTTGATTTCTTTCCCTTTCCCCTTGATTTCTTTCCCCTTCCCCTTGATTTCTTTCCCCTTCCCCTTGATTTCTTTGGCCAAGCTCCTTCTGAGTTTTTGGAACCTGTTGAGCATCATCCATTGTATTATCACATTACATGGTCACAATGAAGGAATACAGTTGTACGTCTGTAACATCGCCATCCGAGTACGGTTGTGTAGGTTCAGTTCAATTGTAATTACAACATGTGAAATTCTTGTTCCGTTTTTTTCTGTTGCAGTATGGGTCAGAATAATATCCAGAAATGGAAAGCGATTCTGACGCTACGTCTGTTTTGGATTCTATTTCTTCTGCTTCCATGAAAACAAAATATTGATATTGAGTTTATCATTATGTGTTCGTTATATTATACTAACCGAAAAAGATAACTGTGTTTCACATAGTTCATGATATGATGCATCTTGGTCACATTTCCTCGTCTCGTCATTTTTGCACGTGCGTTTTCATACATAATTAGCTGATACTCAAGCGCGTGTTTTCTGAAAATATTACTGAATGATCGGTTAGTTATCAGGTTCCCATGAATGAATTCCACCGGAAATAACGCTATGGCAACGCTTGTTTAAAGTATACGCCTGACATGTAATGTTCATCCAAACACGATCTCATTTCATAACGCAAACCCTTTCTTATGACTTGTCGGGTACCGGTCGGGACTCTAACAAGAAAACCACATTCGGTTGGTGCAAACATTTCAATTTCTGTTACATTTCTGGTTTAAAACCAGTTAGCGACAGAGGCATACGAACAGATTCGAACCGTGAAGGTCCAGCTTAGAAATGGTCTCGAGTAACACATGCTTGTCGTAAGAGGCAACTAACATGATCTGGTGGTCAAGCTCGCTGACTTGGTTCGCATGCCATTTTCCCAACTGCGTAGATCGATGCCCATGATGTCTGGATTGTCTGGTCCAGACTCGATTACCGCCGACGTATAGTTGATACATTGCTGCGACGTTACACGACACACCAAACGAACGCCCACGTCTTCGTACGCTTTTTTTCGTCAGGTACGCTTTTCGTCTTTGATACAGCGTAACATTGCCTACTGCCATGGAGAGCTGTTTCTCCAGGCCTCTCACTACAGAACATGCCAGAGAGGAGACAGTAGCTCAGTGAGAGCTCAGTTACGCCAAACCTTGGCTGCCATTGTATTCAACACCGGTCAGGTTGTTATCTATCATCTGGTGTAGGGCTTCCACGGGTACTCGAGTACTCGAGGACGAGTCGGGTTTAGCTGGACTCGAGTCCATTTTCAAGGACTCGAGGACTCGAAAAGGGGAGATAACTCGAATTATTGACGTTGACAGACTGTCTGCCATGTGCTAAGCATGAGCGGCCGTTAACGTCTAATATTAAGATAAGATGTAACTTGATTATCCCGGAGGAAATTCTTATACATCCAACTGTCTCAAAATGAATATATACACAGTTCACAAAAATATACACAATAATTACATGCAGAAAACGAATGCTATTTACACAATAAAACTGACATGATATAATTCAATTAACCACATAGGTAAAGAGGCTGAATAATTCTAGTTGTAATCACGTGATGGTGATTCAAAATATTGTTGCATTCACGAATACTTGATGGTATGAAAGACTGTCGAACTCTGTTTTGAGAGAAGGTAATTGACACCAGCGTCCAGAAGGAAGTAGTTCAAAATGGTGAGATCAAATATGTCAACTATCAAATCTAATTTTAGTTGCCTTTGTGACAATCTGGCGCTCATAGATAAAGGGAATATACTTAAAAGACACCCCAGAAATTTTGCAAGCAGTATTAACAATTTTGAAAAGCTTGTTTTTGTTGCAATGAGACAGACTCCCATACCAGCATAGAAAATTGTAGGTCAACACATTTTGAATAGAGGTTTGATAAAAAACTGTCATTACGGTTTTGTCAATGCCTTGACAATAATAATCTTCAGAATCGGAAATTAGGCCAGTAACAGTGGCGTCATCTGCGAATTTCACAGTAAACACGTCATATATTGACAAGTAACAGTCATTGGTATACAAAACGAAGAGTACGGATGAAGGAACACAGCCATTTGGTTCTGCAGTAGAGGTTGAGAGAAAAGAAGATTGATAGCCATTTACACTGACATACTGAGTTCTATGTACCCATCTGATAATGGTTTTATTAAGACCTATATTAAATAGTTTACTCCTCATAAGGTGTGGCTGTTTAAGAAATACACTTCGCTCTACCACCATGTATAGTGTAATAAAACACACTTTTGCCCTGAACTATTATAGTTACGCAAAGCACTCGGACGCAAGCGTCCGAGTGCTTTAACTATAATAGTTCAGGGCAAAAGTGTGTTTTATTACACTATACATGGTGGTAAGGCAAAGTGTATTTCTTTTCTAAGATGCGAAATTTAATACTTTCTAAAGATAATTACGATTAATTTAAGGCAGAAAACAAACGACGGTGTCGGTGACCTAAATTAAGAATCCTCGCACAGGGCTAACTGGCGCGCCGTTCTATTGATGTGTCTGCCCCCCTACGTTAAGACGAACGTTACCAGAGAAAAACAAATGATAACAGTTTGATGACGGTTTACGTTCGGATTAAATATCTTCTCTGAATTATTTTAATTACATCTGTCATTAACGTAAACCATATGGGGCAATATGAACGTTGCATTTCTACTACCAGCGTAAGTTTAGATCAGTACATCCAGAGGAAGTTGAGTAGTCATGCGACATTCGACAATTGCATTGTGGGAATGTAAACATTACGAACGTTACCGTGTCGCTGAAAACTTGTGAGTCGCAATGACACATTTTAACCGTCGTAAAACATAAACGTAATGTTTCCACCAGTGATGTTAGCTGCGTGAAGCAACAGCAAACCAAGAAACTGGATGCAACGGTGTAGTTTACTGTAGGAGGCGTTACGAGGCGATGACAACTGACATGCATCGTGACGTCGCTTACATTGTGACGTAATGTAAAATGGTTCGATTACGAGGGGGCAGACTAGAATGGCGCAGTGACGGGAAAACGTCATTCAATTGTTACGTCATCAAAAAACTATACCTTTATTGTCTGATAATGTTGGTTTTTTTCGATTGTTCTAACCGCTAGGCATCTTAGAAATGGTATTAGTTGTTACAATTCTCTGCAGATGAGAGTAAATATTATACATCGTTTGAAATTTCACTTCTTAAAATGATAAGGTAACTATCTTGACAATTGATAGACATGGCGAAAGATAAAAAATCAAATGTATGGGCGTATCTTGATCTGGATAGAGAAAAGAGAAAAATAACCAAATGCTGCCTGTGCGGTATATCACTGCGTTTTGCAGGCAGTACAAGAGCGAGTGAGTGAGTTTGGTTTTACGCCGCTTTTAGCAATATTCCAGCAATATCACGGCGGGGGACACCAGAAATGGGCTTCACACATTGCACCCATGTGGGGAATCGAACCCGGGTCTTCAGCGTGTCGAGCGGACGCTTTAACCATTAGGCTACCCCACCGCCCGTGGCAGCACAAGAAGTACGATGAAAAAAACAAGTGTCAAGTAAACATTCAAATACTGATTCTGACCAATGGGAAATGTTAGTCACATAACGATATGAAGTCGGAATGAAGTAAGTAGTCACTTGTGTGATCGGAACACATGTCATGTCAGTTACGCTATTGTTTGCTTGAAAGGTATGAATTTCGAGTACTCGGGTCCGAGTCGAGTCTCACCCCTCGAGTACTCGAGTCCAAGAAAATGGACTCGTTGAAGCCCTAATCTGGTGTCTTCGAAACCTTCGACGCCACAAACTCTGGTCACTCCACATATTGACATTCATGAGTAGTTTACAAGATCCTTTTGAGGGCCCCGACACCTACTGCCAGGTTTTGTCAGTGACTGTCTTACCCAAAATCATTTATCAGACGAATGACTACATATAGCATAACTACCCGTGAAGGTCCGGGTTAGAATATTGATCTTCAGTAACCCATGCTTGTCGTAAGAGGCGACTAATGGGATCGGGTGGTCAAGGCTCGCTGACTTTGTTGACACATGTCATCAGTTCCCAATTGCGCAGGTCGATGTTGACCGATCACTGCTGTTAATCACTGGATTGTCTGGTCCAGACTCGATTATTTACAGACCGCCGCCATATAGCTGGAATATTGCTGAGTGCGTCGTAAAACTAAACTCACTCACTCACATATAGCATAACCTCTCCAACTGTCTGTCAAGTTCTATTACGTTTTCCCGTTTATATACTAAATCTAACAAGAGACACGATCATCTGTAAGTGAATATTCATGTGTTTCCTTAAGTCTCGAGATCAATACTTACACATATTGCATGACTTCTTGCAATGTCTTGCCATTTTCCTCAGTTGTTTCTTGATGGTACAGTATCCTTTTTCAACCATTGAGGGACATTCTTCGGGCTTTTTGTCTTTACATATTGCGCCACCTTCAATGTCAGTTCAAAATTGAAACCTTGCATAATAGTATTTAATTGTAACAACTTGAAAACCTTATATTCGCATCCTAGTTTAGAATTATTTTCATTACCAGGTCGTAGTATTTATGATGATTCCCATTCAATCGAATGTTATAAGCGTGAACTAAACATGACAATGTAAATAAGCTTATATGGTCCACATCGATCGCTACGAAGTATTTGAGACAAACAGTATGTGTTTTGTTTCTATTATATGAAGTATATTAACTACAAACCATTTGCCACGTTCATCTCGGCCGTTTCTGTGTCAGTTGAACCTGTTAAGATCATCCATTATTCACATTCAATAGCGAAAATGAAAATATCATACCGTGAATATAATACTGAAATTACAATGAGTTTACAAATCGACAGGTTATACCAAACGGATTTTACTTCTTAACGAAAAAGCTTTCATAACTTTCATAAGAAAAATAAGACAAAGAATTGTAT